GTTTAGGTTCAGTCACTGGTGGAGGGAGTAAGTATTTTACCATTCAGTATACAGCTATCACTCTTATAAGGAGGTAGACCGGGAGAATTGAGGCACATCGTTAGACTGTGCACGTAAGTCACACACAGACCAGAGACCTTCACATTGTAAGCACACTCACATAGCTCCCTCCAAATAAAGGCTCTCACTCATTCGCAGCGCGTGATGACGACAACAGCCTTAATTTTTGCGCACAACATTAGACAGGGGAACAGAGTTCTAGGCTGCCTAAATATCGCATGCCGGTGGTGCAACTAGCCCCCAACCCCCACCCAGCACAAAACTGCAAATATCTTTGCATGCGCTGCGTTCCACGCATAAACGCTACACGTGCTTGCTCCATGAACAATTCTAAAATCAGACTGGTCATGGCGGCTGGAGTAACCTTTAAATATGGACTGCCCAATTAATTATATTATAAAATACACTATTAATCAACCATTATAAGCACACATATTTATAGGAAATACTTGAAAAACGAGAGAAGTCTCAATGTACCTTTCCTGGTAAAATATTTTATAAATAAATTATATATATATACACACACACATTATATTTAATCTTATACATGTCAGTCTTCCTAACCCATTATAGAAATATTATATAATCCCTAAATCCTCACCATTACCATCTAACCAAACCAGGTATTGCAATATGTTGTAGTTAGACACTTAGTAAAGCCCCCAGGACACCCATCACCCATGCAGTGCTATGGTACACACTGTAGTGATGGTTTGTGGTAGCTAGAGGTTCACTCACCGCGTCCTATCACATCCAGCAAACACGTGGGCTGGAAACACGACACAGCTTTCAGAACCAGTAACCATTTCCCAGTCCAGAACGAGGCTTGGAACGCGCATGCGAAAGTTGTTTGCGGTCCAAGACAGCGCCGTGACGTCGCACGCCGACTGACTGTGAGCTCTAAACGCTAGAGATCGGATTTGTTGGAAGCACGTGTCGCTGGTTCTGTGCAGCTCAGTGACGGTGACCGCCTGTAAGAGGGCAGTCAGTGAAAACATGCGAAATATGTAACATCGCTTCATTGTACTAATGCTGGTGTTCTGGTGTTTAGATCTTTAGGCCACAGAAAAAGGCCAACAGGGGCTTATTTACTAAACAGTGTATCATGCAGCAAGGAAAAACAAATAAAAGATCTATAATAAATATATTTTGTTTTGTCTGCACTGGTTTGTGTCTTATCTCCCAACATTGGGAGGCATTGTTTGTATTTTATTACTACTTTTATGTTTTTATTACTTTTTTTTGTTATTTTATTTTTTTCAGCAAAAAATGTTTTTTCTGTTGCGCTATTTAGGCTTAATCTACTACATTTTATTTAATTAAAATGCATTCTTACCTGGTTTGGATTCTCTCCGGAGTCCTGGTTTTCATTGCGATGTGGTGACTACTACCAGAGGTGAAGGAGAATGGACCCTCCAGAATTTTAAGGGGAAGCACCTTAAGGCGACATACTCATGAACCATCTAGTGAGTGATTTTCTAACGGCCCAATCTTATGTTTACTGCACTGTGTTATTATTTTCAGCACAACATAGAAACATAGAATGTGACGGCAGATAAGAACCATTCGTCCCATCTAGTCTGCCCAATTTTTAAAAATACTTTCATTAGTCCCTGGGCTTATCTTATATCTAGGATAGCCTTATGCATATCCCATGCATGCTTAAACTCCTTTACTGTGTTAACCTCTACCACTTCAGCTGGAAGGCTATTCCATGCATCCACTACCCTCTCAGTAAAGTAATACTTCCTGATATTATTTTTAAACATTTGCCCCTCTAATTTTAGACTATGTCCTCTTGTTGAGGTAGTTTTTCTTCTTTTAAATATAGACAAGCAAATCTGATGATGCGTTCACGTGGTGCTCCTTGGGAACAGTTCCCTGGTGTTCCCTGGATGTGGGACATCAGGGAACAAATTCAGGGTGGCGGGAGAGGACCCTAAAGTAGGGTCTGTCCCGACGAAACTGTCGCCCAAGCTCTTATAACTCTCAGCCAATAAGCTAAGCGTTACACTGCTGGGCATAGCTCAGACAGAGCCGGAAGTTGTCTGTCTGAAACGGTTTTACTACTTGCAATAATAGGGGGTGCTAAGGCGCTCCTAGTGTGCTATAGCGGTGAAGTGGAAAAATCAATTAAAGTATTGATTATTTCTTTGTGTATCTGCCCCTGGCCAAATCAATGAAACTATGCGTGCACGCTCCCTGAAGTAATTCACGCCAGACACAGGTTCTAGGTTGTTGAATAACTTGAGGAAAGTTTATTCAGAGGGGACGGCAAGTCCCTTTTAAAGCAAAATTACATCATATGCATTGTCAGAGATAACATGGAATAATACATCAATAATTGGTTAGGTGTTAAGTGGTTGTTCTAATGCTCTGCCTACTGCAGGTGATGTCACCGGGACCATGAGGGTCTCCCACGGTTTTCCGGCGCCATCTTGTTACACGAGGTAGTTAGTCGATGTTTAAAAAGGGAGGGGAAGGAGGGGTTAGAAGCTTCTAGCAGCCATCTTGATTGAAATATGTGTACTTAGCTTTATATGTGATATATATATATATTGTAAAATGAGTAAATAGACATTTTCCTTTAACCAGGAAATATGTGTAGACCTTATTTCCACAACAGTCCCCCCTAAAATGGCTATTTACCATTACAACTGCTGCTGTCCCTAATATGTCCCTAGTTGCCTGCAACCTATCTGCCTTGACAAGCATCGAACACTTCACTCCGCGGGTATCCCGCAGTGGCTAACCCACTACATCTCCACACGTGAGACTCACCTGTCAAGACAGACGCTTTCCCTACTCTATCCCTACAAAAAAGCAGTTGTCTGTTTAAACTGATGTGTTTGTAGGGGTGTATGTGGGGTGTCATCTTCAAGGTCTGTGATATCCTGATGTATGAAGGTAGGGGTCACATTATCTACAGTCTTATCTACCGCTTTCTGCAGATATTTCTGTATACAGGGGAGTATACAACAGGCTGAGAACAAAAAGATAATGAATACCATGAGAACAGCTGTCCCTACCTGAAAGAGGGTCTTTTGCCAGCCATTCATCCACCCAAACCATTTGTCCCATATGTCAGTGGCTCCCGAATTCTTCTTTAATTCGTCTGCAAGACTATCTAGCTTTTCTATGGCCATAGTCACTTTACCATTGGGCCCCGTGTTGTCTGGAATGTATGTGCAGCATGTCATGGTCTCAGGGAGGATTTTACATACTCCCCCTTTTTCGGCTAGAATCATATCTAGGGCCATTCTGTTCTGAAATGTCATTTGGGTAGTGGCTTGTAGTTGCTCTGCCAGGCCCTGTAGGGCATCCCTTGTGTAGTTGACAAAGCGTTGCTGATTATAATAGATATAGTTAATCCAATTGACATTCTTGTTAGCAGTTATCATTGGGATTAGGGACTCAAACCCTGCAGCCACTTCATCTCTTGCTTTAAATTCGTTAGGCACCCCCCTTGGCACTCCTATGGCATCAATATACACATGGGGGTCGAAACTCCCTCGAATAGGGGTCTCTCGTTTGGTTCTAGAGTGTATATGTGTGAGGTTAAGCGTGTTATGGTCACCATCTGGAATGATGTGGATAGGCATTATGACTTTGGTTAGGGCACATTCCCCCCACCATTGGCCAGCTAATTGGGGCCTTAATTGTTTGTCACCACATAACCAATAGATATCACCGATTGTCTTTGTGTGATTCATTAGCAGTGATACAGGTGGACTATGGTAAGTTGAGCAGTATCCTGATGGGAATTTGCCCAGATACAAACCAGTGTTTTCTGGTATTGAATAGCATGTGTAATTACCTGGGTAGATGGTGACTCCATCGGGTGGTTTCACATGTCCGTGAGTGATTGGGTAAATCTTCTTCCAGGATTCACATGTTGAGGAGTTAGTGGTGGATTGTGCATATAAACTCAGTACACATAATTCTATTTCCGGAGGTAAACTCAGAGGTACTGTACCCAGATGGGGTCTGGCACCTCCGCATACATAACAATTGGTCTTATTGTGTGAGTTGGCGTTGTACCTCATCCATTCTAGCCATAAATTGGTATCTGAAAACCCTGTTTCTACTGCCATGGTATCTTCAAAGGTGGGGTTGGCTATGGCTACCATGTCATGTAGGGTTTTGATGTGTGGTTTCAATGGGTTAATGACCATATGTGTGGTTCCCACCCAATCAGAGGAATTTAGCATATCTTGCAAGTAAAAGGTCCCTAATGCGTTATGTGAGCCACCTCCCTTCCAGTACATTCCCATCACATACTCCCCTGCATCCCTTGGACTAGGGTGTTCTATGTTTAAGGTGAGTTTAATGGGAGTTGACCCTATGGGTTTACTCAGGGTCATTCTAGAGAGCAAGGGTTTCTCGTCTTTGTCAAGCTTGTCTAATGCAACTTGGGGTCTGTAGCCCCATGGTCTACCTGTGTTCCACCCGGCAGCTTTCCATGAACTACAATGGTGTCCCCAACCTTCGCCAGTCACACAAATGTATGGATCCTTTTTGTTAGGTATGTCCTTATATACAGCTGCATGTTGTGTTTGTGGAAATGTACAAGTAACTATGTCACAATAGTCAAAGGTGTATGTAGCCACATCAGTATTAGAAGAATTGTACCAAAAAGTATAAACATGGTTATCTTTGGTTATGGCCACTTGTTGGGCCCATGCAAAATGTAGCAGCATAAGAAAACACAAGACACATAATAAATTCATTTTTCAACAGGATCAGACTCTTCTGGAGCAGGCACTTTTTTGCAATGTGAAGCGTGTATCCAAGAACTCTTCCCAGCTAGTTTAACTGACGTTGCTGTAATCAGGAGCACTTGGTAAGGACCATCAAATCTCGGTTCCAGGGTGTGTTTTCTGAGAAACTTCTTAACCATAACCCAATCACCTGGAAGCAGCTTGTGTGTACCTGTGTTCGACTCAGGATCTGGAATAGAAGAAAACACTTGTGCATGTATCTTGGTCAAGGCATGTGAGAGGGCTGTCACATAATCTACCATTGCATCTGACTGGATCTGAAGTTGTTGGGGAAAGTAACAACCTAACCTAGGTGCTGTGCCAAACAAAATTTCATAAGGTGACAGGCTGTATTTTCCCCTAGGAGTGTACCTTACACTAAACAATGCTAATGGGAGACTCTCGGGCCAAGGCATGTTAGTTTCTTGTGACATTTTAAGCATTCTGGCTTTCAGAGTGCCGTTCATGCGCTCTACCTTACCACTACTCTGTGGGTGATATGGAGTGTGGAATGCAAGGGTCACCCCCAGTGCTGACCAGACTTCCCGTGTTGGCGAGGCAGTGAAGGAGGTTCCTTGGTCACTCTCAATTACTTCTGGAACCCCGTAACGGCAAACAATTTCTGTCAAGAGATACTTGGCTGTTGTCCTCGCGGTGAGGTTAGTCACTGGGAAGGCCTCTGGCCATCCTGAAAACATGTCCACTATGACCAGTGCATATTCATGGCGTCCGCTCTTTGGCATCTGAATATGGTCAATCTGAATCCTCTGAAAGGGGTATTGTGGCTTGGCTAGATGATTAGGTGCAGTCTTTATGATCTTTCCAGGATTGCACTTAGCACATATAGTACAAGATTTGCAATAATTCTGTGTTAAGGTAGTGATGCCTGGTGCTTCAAAATACTTGTCAATCAGTGAATTCATCAGGAGCTTTGATAGGTGGGCTGGCCCATGGGCCCATTGGACCACCGCTGGATACATACTTCTAGGTAGACAGAACTTGAGATTAATGGTGTAAACTTCATCACGGAGTACTGCTCCTTTGTTCTTCCAACTCTGTTTCTCCTGAGGAGTGGCAGCAACTTGCTGTTCCTTCAGCAGCCTGAGGTCTGTAGGCAATGTTTGCATAGTATAAATTGGTAATGCATCTGTGGCCACTCTTCTGTCCACTTCCCATTGTCGTGCTGCCTCTTTGGCTGCCTGATCAGCCAGGCTATTGCCACGTGCTTCTTCTGTGTCTAATCTTCCATGAGCTTTTACTTTCAATACTGCCACTTCTGCTGGGAGTTCCAATGCGTCCATCAGTTCTGCAATGGCTGCCCCATGCTTTACTGGGGTACCGGCAGCTGTAAGGAATCCTCTGGTCTTCCAGATTAAGCCAAAATCGTGTGCCACTCCCAGGGCATATCTTGAGTCCGTATAAATGTTGACTCGTGGGCCTTCGGACAGTTTGCAGGCCACAGTCAAGGCTATTAACTCGGCCTCTTGGGCAGATTTAGTTGGTTGTAGGGCAGCTGCTTGTAATATTTGACATCCTGTGGTAACTGCATATCCAGTGTGGTATTGTCCTTGTTCGTCAGCAAACCTTGAGCCATCCACAAATAGTGTCTGATCCGGGTTGGGTAATGCAGCTTCATAAACAGTTGGTAGGTGTGTAGTTTCCATTTTCATTTGTTCAAAACAGTCGTGAGGGATATCAATAAGGTCGCAGTCTATGGTGGGTGGGTCCTCACAGGCCTCTATGTGGTACCTGGAGTGTCCTGTTGTGCAGTAGTTAATTGTCTTTTTATTTATTCCTGCAGAAGTCAGTTGTTCTGGAGTCATTTGGTTCCAAGTTTTGGCCTTCGGCCCTAGGGTCTCCCATGTGATGTTGTGGGATCTGGTGAGAGGTATGTGTGGGATAGCTGTTTCCCAATGGTGGTAGAGGTGTACTGCATTGTCTGGAAGATGTACCAGAATGAGCATGGTACCTGTGGAGTCCCAAAACAAGTCAGTCAAGGTAATTTGGATGTCTTTGAGCTGAAATAGTTCTTCCTCATAGTCCACGTCAGGGTTTGGTGTGTCCCTAAACCACAAGACACAGTGGAGTAGGGCCTCTGATTGTTCATCATCAGGGGAAGGTGTAAACACAGGCAATTGTAAATATGCTCGGACCTCTGGGTTGATGTCCAGGCTGTACCAGTGATGCACTATTCCCCCCTTGGGAAGTGGCAGAAGAGTGGCCGGGTTCAGGGAAAGGCATCTCTGGAGTTTCACATTGTCAGGTAGGAGTAAGGATGTCTGTAGGCGAAGGTGGCGTTGTGAAGAAAGGTGTTTTGGGCGGATTTGCTGTAAGATTGCAGTAATATCGTGAGGGGCCAACACTGTCAGGTGATGGCCAAGAACAAAGTCATTGGTCTTGTCCAGGAGAGCACTGGCGGCGAACACCGCTCGGAGGCAAGAGGGGCTACCCCTTGCAACAGGGTCAAGCATGCAGGAAAAATAGCCAATAGGGCGTTGTCTGGTGCCATGTTTTTGGGTGAGGACTCCGGAAGCATGTCCTGATTTTTCGGAGACAAAAAGGTTGAAGGGAAGTTGATAGTTTGGTAGGCCCAAGGCAGGTGCAGAAGCAATAGCTCTTTTCAGAGTGCGGAAACAGATGATAGTTTCTTCTGTGAGATGGAAAGGTTCGCTCCTGAGGGCATCATAGAGTGGCTGCATGAGTTTTAATGCTTCGGGTATCCAGGATCTGCAGTACGTGATTAGACCCAGGAAAGCATGGAGAGCTTGGTGGGTAGCAGGTAGTGGAAGGAGCAGAATGGCTTGTACACGTTGGGAGGTGAGATGTTTGGTGCCATGGGAAAGGCAGTGTCCCAAGAAGACCACAGAGGGCCGGCACCATTGTAACTTGGATTTGGAGGCTTTGCAACCAGCAGCAGCAAGAAAACATAGGAGGTCTTCTGAAACACGCTCCGCAGTGAGTAAATCAGGAGCACAGAGAAGGAGATCATCAACATATTGAAGCAGGACGACATCCAAATGAGATTGTTGCCAGGGTTCCAACACCAGTGACATGGCGTGTGCAAATTGTGTGGGGGAATTCTGAGCCCCCTGAGGCATGACAGTCCAGGTGTATTGCTGTCCTTCATGGGTGAAGGCAAAGAGGAAACGACATGAAGGGTCAAGGGGGACACTGAAGAAGGCATTAGCTAGATCCACCACAGTGAATATTGTTGAAGTTGACGGAACTTGGGATAAGAGGGTGTGGGGGTTAGGAACAATGGCAGTGTCTTTGATGGTCACATCATTCACAGCACGGAGATCTTGTACCATACGATATTGGTCAGGTTGACCTTTAACAGTTCTCTTTTTAACAGGAAAAAGTGGAGTATTGCATGGAGACGAACACTTGATGAGGGCACCTTTGGTAACGAGACATTCAACTTGTCTGGTAATGGCTTCAGCTTGTGCAGGCTTTAGAGGGTATTGTGGTCTGCGAGGAGGCTGTGCCCCGGGCAGGAGCTGAACCAAGACCGGGGGCACATGCAAACGTCCAATATCATCCGGGCCGGTGGACCAAAGATCAGGTGGGATACGGTCCAGAGCACTGGGGGTTTGTGGGACCCGTGCATCCCCTGAGTTGTCAGTTAGGTTTAACAAAATAGGGAGTGAACAGAGGACAGAGGTATCTTTTTGTGATAAGGGAGTTGTCAACTCAATCTGCCCATCTGCAGTGAAGGTAATGGAGGCCTGGAGGCGAGAGAGAACATCGGCACCTAGGAGGTTAATGGGGCAAGTAGATGAAACCACAAAGCGTGAGAGGATGTGTGAACCTACATGTAGGAGCTTAGTAAGGGGGTTGCTGCGTGGGGTACCATCCACCCCAACACAGGAAACATCAGTGTCAGATAAGAAAGAGGGGTCAGGCAGGTCTTGTTCCCTAAGGACACTACGGGCTGCACCTGTGTCAACCAGGAAAGTGGTGGGGTGGCCCTCCACAGGGTGAACAACAGTAGCTAGAGGGCCCCCCCCAGCCCCCGCAGACACTGCCATGGCAGTGGTTGCTGACACAGGCTTGCCGGTTACCTATTGTAATAAATCTAAATGGGCCTGGTCTGGTCCCTGGTACCGGCGGGAAGTAGAAGGGGGGTTAGCAGAATGCATGGGAGGGCGGGATGGGCGGAGGGTAGGACGGGGTTGGCCGTCTTGGAAATCATCATTATCAAACCCTTCTGCAGAGTGTGGAGTATACGTGTGAGCTT